GCTTGGCAGCTCAGGACAAGGAGGGCTTAATGTGTAAGAGGCTTATATCAAATGTGCAGAGATCAAGGGTAGAAGGACACAGCTTGTCCTTCCCACCAAGCCAAGAGGCTGAAAGAGAAGAAGTTGGAGTGAATCAGGTTGGACAAGATCTTGGAGACACAGATGTAAGCCAGGGTAAGCTATGAGGCTGCCTTTTCACTAGGGGAAGGAAAGTCTTACCACCTGTTACCTGTCATTAGTGGGTTGAGAGAGACTATGCGAGAGCCCCAGGTTTACCTTGTCCTGCTGCTTACAAGTCGAGACCATTACAAACCAGGATGTTACCTTATTAGCCCACACATAGTAGCTGTTGCTCCTCGGTGTCTTCACTAGGGGGTTTTGAAGAGGGGCTTGGAGGGCAAGTTTCCCTCTAAACTGTATGGGTGCGCAGCTGCCTAATTATTCCTGTTCAGGGCTGCTGTGCATGGAGATGCCATGGGAGAACTCCCTGCTGGGGCTGGAGGAAAGGTGGCCCCAGCAGCAGGACAGATTAAAAAAAAGGCGAGTTGCCTTAGCCTGAGATTGTAGCCCCTAAAGTTCTTGTGTTCTGCACCAGCTCTGTATGCTGCCATTTTTTTTCCTCCCCCGTGCCAGGAAGCTCTCCCATTGGTTAGGAATTGCAGGCACCTGGCTTTGTGTGTGGTGTGGTTTGTTTTTTCCCCCCAACCACCACCAAACAGGAGCTGCCCCAAGAAAGAGCCCTGCGCCCCAATCTCCAACTCTGAGCCCCTCCTAGATATCGTTGCACCCCAATCCAGAGCCCCAGCTCTAAGCCTGCTGCACCCTCCTGGACTTCACATCCCAACCCTGAGCACCATCTTGCACCCTAACTGCTGCTCAGACCTTGCATCTCAGCCTCCTGCCCTGAGCAGCCTTCTTCTACTGCAAATCCCTTGGCCCGTTCCTGCACCCTAAATGCCACATCCCAGGCCCCACCACAAAACCTGCACCTTCTGCCAGAGGTCTCATCCCCACAGCAAACCTTGAGTTCCCTCCCCCACACTCCAAAACCCTTGGCCCCACACCTACACATGAATGATCTGACAGAATGTATTTTCTTATGTGCACCAATAGGGAGGTGATGGCTCATAGCATCTCCATATTGGTGCACATAAAATTCACTGCGCTCATGGACATACACAATTCAGAGGGAACACTGTTGTGGGAAGAGTGGAAGCTTTCTAGATTCAAGATTATTAAACTTCATTGCACCGTGATCCTCTTCTGATGACAAAAATTAATACACGATCCCAGGAGGGAGGCTTGATGCCTGAGCCTGTCCAAGCCCTGCAGCCTTAAGTGGAGAGATGAGAGACTGAGCCCCATCACCCCAGGCAAGGGATGCAAAGCTGAAGCCCAAGGATGTCAGCCCCAGTCTGGGGCCCTGTAAGATCAGCCCCGCCACCCACAGTTGAAGCTCTCAGGCTTGGGCAGTGGGGCTCAGACTTTGGTTTCACTCCAGGCGCTGGCAAATCTAAGCCAGCCCTGGTGACTCTATGAAAACAGAGTTGTGCCCCATAGATTGAGAACCGCTGTACTAGACTGATTAAAGAGGAGTGTGGTTTGCCTAGAAAGCTGGAGAAGAAAACCAGTAGTTATGCTGAAAAACAATTGAAGCCTGGGCAAATATCTTCAGTGTTAATACGACGGACCAGAGAGCTGGCTACTCCATAGAAATGCTACCTCTACCGATGAAGGTTAAACATTCTTGGCCTGTGCAAACATTTTTGCTTCAAAGCATGCCATATAAAATGGCATAAGTGGATACAAGGTGACCCACCACACAAGCAGGTGCGGACTTGGGCTGTGACTTATTGTTGTAATGCTCCTGGGAATCGATGCACGCAAGGTTTCTGGACTTCTTAAAAGCAGGAGGAAGCTTGCAAACGTGGAATGGGTCCAAACACAAGCATCGTGAAAGAGGGCCCAGTGAAGTTAGGACTGGGAGAAAGACAAGGTACAGTTGGAAGGAACTCAGAAGTCAAGTGTCAGGACTTGTCTACACCTACAGCATTGTAGCTGCTCGCCAATAGCCCTAGGTGAAGACCCTAACTGTGTCAATGGGAGACGTTCTCCCATTGACATAGTGCTCTCTCTACTCTATTCTGGGAGTTCAGTCAATACAACTGCATCCCTCGGGGGCATAGCTTTCTCACATGTTATAGTGGGCCCTGGGCAGCACTTCAGGGTTAGGTCTTTTTTTTTTTTTTTTAAAGTGGTCTTCCATGGCACAAATTCTGTAAATATCTAGGCTTAAATGCAGTTTCCACCAATATAACTCATCTACTACAATGGCTTAATAACCCCACCTTTGGGAGACGTATCACACTTAGGTCAATGCTGTGTCAGGGTAGATGTTGCATTGCTTATATCCACTCTTGCTGCCTGTCAGAAGCCATTCCACAATGCCCCACACGGCTCGTTAAATTGGTGCAAGCATGCCCTCTGAGGACTAGCACGGCTGACACCAGGAGAGTAGTATGGACCTGCAAAATCAGCTTAATTATGGCAATGGCTGTAAATTGATGTAACTTAGGTTGACTTAATTTTGTAGGGTAGACCAGGACTAAGAGAAACTGTAGGTAGATAAAAAGAGTTTTGAAGCGGAGGAAAAGAATTACTAATGTAGCTCAAACAGACAATGCACTGTTTGCTTTTTTTTAGAAGGTGACCTATCTGTTTTTAGTAACTTTCCACTGATAAAACTGACTTACACCGTTAACTTGTTCAGATAAGAACTCTATGGCAGGTCATCTAAACTTTGCAGCAGCTTGTGTGGAAGTGTCACTCTAGTTTCACTATCACACCGCGCCTCTGTGGCAGCCAGCATTACAAAGTATCTTTGCAAGACAGAAGGTACTATCGAGACTGCACAGCAAATACAACTGGAATAGAATACAGTCTCTAAACATGGGGGGGCGTGAAGAAATTCCAGGGGAGGCACAAGGCAACCCAGCCCCCCCTTTAGTTTCCCCACCCCCCAAGTTTTGCTGCTATTTTTGTTTGTTCCCAGTCAGTGTTTTTTTTTTTCCCCTCAACAAGTTTTCTGCTATTTGGGGAGGGAGGGGGGGCATGAGGGTTTCTCAAAAATCAAAAAGGGGTCGTGATGCTGAAAAGTTTGGGAACCACTGCTCTAGAAACTAAGCCCTGCTCTCCACTATGCCTGTTTGGAACAGTTAACCAAGCTTGTCCCTTTAAATCATCAAGGCATGTTATTTTGGACTTACAAGTTTGGGAATAGTGTTGTTCCTCATGATTCCAGAATAAGGGGCTTGGTAGTATGGACGCATTGCTTACAAATTTGACCTTGGGGGTGTTATTTTGGACTAAGGGCCTAGTGTAGACCACGCCCAAGTGAACTTGGGTTACTCCTGATCTTATGAATTTTGAAGGTAATATTGGGTTAAGTTCCGTCCATACTTGAGTGACACATTACGTCCATATACTTATCTTGCCCTTTATGTGGTTTGTGTTTTGCTCTCTTGAATGCTTTTACCACCTTAGTTATATGTGGATTGTAAGAATTTACCCCCCCCCCCCCAAAAAAAAACCCCTGGTCTTAGTTTAAAGTGGGAATTAATTGTTGAAGATGGAACAGAGTTAAAAGTATCCAGGGCTGTGGGGTGAGGGAATATGTTAACTAACCAAAGATATACAAAACCAAAATGGATTGACCCAATAGAGAAGTCTGAGGACAATGAACTGTGAACATCCCGCTGCTCAAACTGTCCTTCCATCTGTTAAGGAGGATAATGATTTATCTGGGTGCCACACCAAGGCCTTATTGGGGAGGTGTACTTGAATTTTCATACCAGTCTTTGGAAAGAAGGGCATGTTTCTCAAACTTTGCTCTGCCTCCACAAAGGCTAGAAATGTTTTGAAATGAAAGCAGAGATTCTCACATGGGAACCACTTAATTCCATGAACTGGTGTTTGAAATGAACCGCTAAATGAGAGACTTCTGCTGCTGCTTGGCAAAGCATTGAGAAGGAAGAACAGAGGCACCCATGTGATCTTCAGACTCCTTGTATAAACAGCACTTCACTGGCACATGTGCAAGCTTACTATTGCAATTCTGCTATTAAGCATTCATTTAAAACTTCTTCTAGAGAAATATGCAGTTCAGCTCCAGCAATCACTCATTTCCCATTTTTTTGGAGGGGGGGGTTTATCAAGCAATGACCCTCTATCTGTATTTAGTCTTGTTTTTTAAATGTTTAGAAGAATTGTCTGCTCCAAATACATGCTTGGGTTTAACAAAACTTGCTCCTACTTCAGAAAAGTCAGGGCAGAGGGGACTACAGGCAGTCCCCGGGTTACGTACAAGATAGGGACTGTAGGTTTGTTCTTAAGTTGAATCTGTATGTAAGTCAGAACTGGCGTCCAGATTCAGCCGCTGTTGAAACTGATCAGTTTCAGCAG